TTATATTTAATTTTATTATAAGCAATGAAATATTAATGTGATAGTAGATCTTGTTAGTCTTTGTATCTATATATAAAACTTGTAAATTTTAAGAAAAAAGAATTAATGAAGTAAATAGTACTTAAAAATGATGAGTGAATATAGGACAATCTGTTACAAGATGATAATCAAATTTGATATACATTCAAACATGCATAAAAAATACGTGCGCGCGCACACACACGCACACACACACACACACATACACACACAGGCGTGCGCATGTGTATATATGTAAAAAGTTCATAACATTAATATTTAAACATAATTTCATGTTTAATGTAAGACAGTTAATATTTTTGGAAAGTATTAAAGTTAATATAAATGGATAAAAAGAAAAAATCATCACATTAATAATAAAATAACAGTAGCATCTCAGTAAATACATATATAATGTATAAAGATGTCCGAAAACCATAGACATATAAAAGATAGACTGCTTATGAGGTAGTGGGGAATGTCCTCTTGAGGGAAAAAGACAACATGAATTTATTTGGGTATCTGTCTTTTAGCGGGGAGCACACACTTTTGCATAAGTGCATAAGCATATGCATGACGAATTTGACTGGTCTATAAGCAAATGCATAAGGAAGTGGACCAATTAAATTCGGTACGCAGGTGACGTTTTAGATCACGCCCACTAGAGGAAGACAGATACCCAAATAAATTGATCTTGTCCTTTTCCCTCAGGAGGATGCCCCCACCTAGGGTTCCACTGCCTCATAAGCAGTCTATCTTTTACATGTCTATGCCGAAAACACACATCTATGAGCCATCCTTTTGACATATATATTGCCTGAGATTTTAGGAAAAATGCAGATCTTTTACCAGTAGAGTGCGGAAATGTTGATGGATGAAATAAAAGAACATGCATACATACCGACAAAAGTAATAAGCTTTAGGAGAATGATAATATAGCGTCAATGCAAATTTTTTTACCTCTTCCTTATACCGTTTGCCTTGACACACTCTATTTTTGTTTAATTTTTCATTTTGTACGATGTGTTTAAATGTACTTTCAAACTCACTATTTAAAATATCATAAGATTCTTCATGTAATATTTTTTTCTCCTTGGCTTTTTTTAATAGCTCAGTCATCTTTGCATTTAATCTTTTTTTTTGCCGATTCAATAATTTTCCTTTCATTAAAGCAGATGTTAGTTTTTTTTTCATAACATTCTTCTGCTCCCGTAACAAATGGTGAAACATATCTGCCTGATTTTTTAATTTTTTAGTATAATCATCTTTCAATGATTGCACAAGATCTGTCAACCGTTTATTATCTGCTTTAAGAATGTTTATTTGTGATTCTTGATTATTTGACTCATTTGTAGTAATATAATCATTTATATGCATCGTCTCTGCAAAAACAAGTAATATTTTAGTATTTTTTAAACCAAAATTGTTGGCATGCATGCGCACAGAATATATACCTTCTGCAGGGTCAAGTACAACACATGCATTTACGCTGTAAATGCTGGAACTTGCGTCTTCTCTTACAGCTATTTCTGTCAAAACGAATATTGTGTTAACATTTTTATTATAACATTCATAGCGACTTAATACGTGCATTAGATACATACCTTCTGCAGGGTTAGATGCAATGTGCACATCAGGTGCAATGCTAGAACTTGCGTCTTCTCTTACAGCTATTTCTGTCAAAACGAATATTGTGTTAACATTGTCATTATAACATTCGTAGCGACTTAATACGTGCATTAGATACATACCTTCTGCAGGGTTAGACGCAATGTGCACATCAGGTACAATGCTGGAACTTGCGTCTTCTCTTACAGTTATTTCTGTCAAAACGTATATTGTGTTAACATTTTCATTATAACATTCGTGGCGACTTAATACGTGCATTAGATACATATTATACCTTCTGCAGGGTTAGACGCAATGTGCACATCAGGTGTAATGCTGGAACTTGCGTCTTCTCTTACAGCTATTTCTGTCAAAATAAGTACTTTATGAACATTTTTATTACAAAAAATATATTTGTAGTAAACATACGCGTACACCAAACACATACCATCTCTGCAACCAGCCTTGACTTGTCCGTCTAGTAATATTATTTCAAAATTGTAAATTTGAGATTATGTATGAATTTGTATTAATAAAAAATAATATTTACATGTATAATAACTACTTACATAAATTTATTAGAGCATTTAGTTCTTCCAATGGATCTACTTGTAAAAATTCCGTTGGTACTGCATTTATTTTTAATCTTTTTCGTTTTAGTCCAGAAAGAAATTCTTTCTTGAAGTGCCGTTCACAAATTATGTTAGATGCAGTTATAGAACAGTGTGTTTTGTGTAT